TATATATTGTATATTAGAGTTAAAATCACAGCCTACATGTATAGGCCTAACTTTATGATAAAGTTTGCCTACAGGGCTAATTAAGTAGCCTATAATATAAGTGATAATTATGACATTGTAAAAAAACCGCAACCCAACCAAACAAACTAATGCAAAACAAAACATGTGTAACAATGTCAACGTGTACAATACGCAGCGGTCTTGGAACAAAATAATGCCGCCCAACAAACAATAACAGCAACAAAGAAAAAACCAACAAAAACCAACAAAGGGAAAAAAATCCCAGACCAAATACATGTAAAAGATCTTTCATGTGTACCGCTGACCCTGCATCGAACAAACTCATCATAGCCTTTCAATTGAAAACGAAATGAGCCAGAGACAAACATGCTGGCATGGGATGATTTAATTTAAATTAATATAATAGATTATATGAATTTTTAAAAATTAAGCGGAAAGTGTCCTCTAGCTATTTTAGTTCCCTTTTCAACAAACTAAAACGCCCCCTCCCCGCACTCTCCACAAACAGGCACGTTCTCGAAAAGAAAAAAATTAAATGAAAATCAGCACGAAACGGGTACCAGAGTATTTTAGTGTCTCTGGGGGTACTCAATAAACGTATCGAAATAAATTATACATGACGTCACCCCATGTGAACAGAATACAAGGGAGACGACAATGAAAAAAAAAATAACGAGACATATGACTGTCACGTGATAAACCAGTAAACTCAAAATGGAGTCCGAAGAGATGGGTTACACTGCTCCATACCAACAATGGTTAGAAAAGTAGACGCCTTGCTTTTTGTTCATTCACTGAAGGAGGAAATAACTGACTGTGAAACCGAACTTGCCATTCACTGACACAAATATACTGTGGATGATGATGACTTGTTTTTCTTCCCAAGCAGCTATAAAATGTAAGTCGAAGCCAACTCACAACTTTACTTACTCAACAAACTTACACTGACACTGACTTTTGACTTTGTTTTCTGCCAATTTCGGCAAATTTTTATTTTTAGACCCACACATATTTTGAGGGCTAAATTGCCATAATTTTTGCTGCAGAACACACTCATCATGGCCACTAACAGAGCTGGTTGTAACGGAGTATGTGAGTATGTACTTACATTACAATTTTCGGTACTTTTACTTTTACTGAACTCAGGTATATTTGTGAGAACCAGTACTTTTACTCTACTCCGATACTTTAAATTATTAAAGTACTTTTGAGTATTTTCAAAGTACATTTTGAGTACTTTTGAAGCTTAATGAAAGAGTAAGTGCCGGCATTTCTGATAATAATATACGGAACAAGGAAGTGGCTATCCTCACCTGGCGTGAGAATAAAAATACGATCAACCTCTCACCGCGGGTGAGACTTGCCACTGTTGGCTATTCTCACCCGGTGTGAAACAAGACCTGTTTTTTCTAATTTCGGAATACTGGGTGAACGCACACCAGGTGAGAATAGCCAAAAGACTCGCCTGCGCTATTGTCACCCGGAATGAGAATAGAGGTGGCCAGTAGGCCATGGAACAAACACCGGGGCGGGCACAGTTGATCAACCAAGAGTTGAAAGTTGAGACCAAAGAACTGCCCGTAGCGTCAAAGATCAACCACTCTCGTAATATGTGATCACACAAGCGTTGTAAAACTCCATGAAATGGTACAATGTTTGCCCCAGACGGGTTTCTGTCTTTTCTCCAAACAATGCACTCGCATCTGAGCTCGCCACCTAAACATACATCACTCGCTGGGTGGGTAGGGCCTACAAGTTCGCTCCAGGTCCAGGCAGGATCACATCGAACTGTGAACTCTTCCCTGACCATTGGAGGCAGTTTTACTCTATTTCCTAATTTGCGAGACAGCCTGAATTTTAAATGGTGTGGTCACAACGTAATGGTGCGTAATGACAAAAGCGCAGGGACTCATTCAGAGATGGAAGGCTAAAAGTTTTGGACAGGTAAAGGGGAGGGGCAACTGGATAAACATAGATGATAAAGATCTCGAGACTCACGATAGGCTAATGAGAGTATATTATATGGCATGCCTAAATGTCACCATGCCTCTGTGATTGGTCATCAAGGTTGACCACTCTTTGCTCGACATATGTCATAAACCCACCCAGGGGTCACGTCAGTTCATGAATGGGTCACTGTAGATTCTTCTTTGGCTTTGTCGGCTAAGATCCCATATTTCTCTTGCTCCGAAGCACTGGGATCTTAGGCGGAGACTACTGTACTGTAGTAGAGAATCTTTGGTTACACTACACTTACTAGACTCTAGGACCTGAAACTACACATGTATTTTGGTTTGGCGTGGGCGCCATGGACTACACAGTGTGACCCAAATCTGTCTTACGACTATTACATAATCAATTGAAACTGAAACTGAGTTCTCAATGTAGATCTATATCTAACAATTTTTTAGGCTACCTAAATTTCTTTTCAACTTTTTTTTTTGTGGCTTGTGCTTAACTCTTGTCATGCATCTGTGCTGAGATGCGAATCTTATTAGCAACCGATTACGTCGGGTCGGACGTTCCGGGCAGGCCGCCGGAGTCACTCAGTATGTACTGTTGGTGTACAGCGCGCACGCCGAGAAACGTTTGTTTTCGCCATGAATACTGTGGGAGTGTGTTAATCGATGATGAAAATAATGCTCTATCTTTCATAGCTTTCTATTTATAAAGTGTTACAAACACATGAATAACCCCCTCTCACAAGCTAACTGATAAGACATTACGAGTAGTTACGCCCATTCGAATACCTTTCTAGACGCTCTTGTTGTTATGAGAATGACCTGAGGTTCGAAAGGGGATAATATAGGTCAATTTCCGAATGTTTTGCACTCAAATTGTTCTTTGTACCTGCAAAATGGTATTCAAAACTATCAAACAAGCTTATTTTTTATCAGGTAGTATAATTTCATACAAAATCAAGCTCATTTGAAAGATTTTGTTAAGAAAAATGGAAGTCTTGTTTCATGACTACCCTTTCGAGCTCTTATGACTACCCTTATGTGTTGCATATGAAGTCAGGGTCAAGTTTCTTTGTGATTTCATCTGCTTTTGTCATTAGATAATATTTATAATAATGGGATCAGAGGTACGGAGAGCCATGGCACGCACTTGCTAGAACCATTAAAACAATGCCAGCTTGTTGTTCTCAGTCAAATTTATCAAAGTCGACTCGCTTTCTGTTGGGTTTACCTGCAATGCTGGTGTTTTTGATTTTGTCTCAATTTTTGAGAAACCTGGAAAAGGTTGACTTTGGGGATATCAAATATTTGACAAATTTCTGCCCTAGTGCAAAACTTCTTGTCAGCCTTTGCTAAAACCTGACGCTTGGTTTCTATTGTCAGACTATTAAATTTTACTCTTTTCTGCCATAATGGAAAGTACCTGGTATCAATAAAAGAATAGTCGATGGATACAATGTGCTTGCCTTGTTTGGTGTTGAAGCAAGAGAAAGGAAAAGAGTGTTGCTGTTGAGCCTTATGACTGAAATAAAATTGCTTTTACGTTAGATCATGATCATGACGATGTAACCAACACTGAGGCCACCCACCCCTCTAATAAAATATGTGTAATCACTTCCTGACTCAAATCTCGAAGTTCAAAGAACCACACACACACATACACATAATGTGTAAACACAAACACAAACATAATTCACACATCATATTGCCCAATGCAGCACCACACTGTCTTTGTTCACATCTCACCATCCATTACCCACCCTCACATGACTAGATTCAAGAAAGTTCTAGTGCCTTACACACACTGCAGGTAATTTGAGATGATGCGTCTTGATACATGCAGCGTGTGTATCATCATGCTGTGTAGGGGTGGGGTGATCCGGGTGGGCTCATGTAACCTGATGCTCTTGATGATGATAGGTTTGCTGTTTTTCATCACACTCACAGGGCGATTTGAAGTCGAGACAATTGTGAGAAAAAATTAATTTGATTGCGTTTTTCAAGACGAGCTCTTTGACAAGTCTGTAAGGCTGTTTGAAAAAACAGTGTTGCCAGTACAAAGAAAATATCAGTTCAGTTGAGTACTGGCATATTGAATTCATGATTTAGAGTTTTAAGTGTCTATGTTATCTGCACCGAACTGTGTGTCTAGTGTATGAAAAATATAATACATGTGTTTTAGAAACCGCCAATCATATAATAGCAGTCTTCTAGACAGCCGCCTTTCTAAGAAAAACATAAGAAACTAGAACAAGAGCGATGTCATTTTCTATGAATTATTTTTTCTTGTAATGAGAAAGTGTTGAGTTTTATTCATAGTGGTTCTATGTCAGCTAATAACAAGGTTCCTTACTTTCTCTGTTTAATGCCCTATTTTCGTTTAAATGACCAACCTCTTGACAATGTAATGATCACAATGATGATGATGTATGTTTAATTTTCCTTCTAGCGTTATGTTGTTGTGTCCATGGCCTTTCAGGCGGTCATAAAGGCTGTTTTTTTAATGGTAATTTAACTGACCTACATGGTTGTCATATATTTTTGGGAAGGGATTAATGTTGAATATTGCCTGCACAGACTACGGTTGCAATGCATATATTTTATATTTACGTATTACATATATAACTGTATAGTAGAGATGATATGGGGGCTCTCGTGGCCTAGAGGTTAAGGTGTTGGCCTCTCATTCAAAGGTCCCGGTTTCGATTCCGGGTAGCGACCAAAAAATTTTCTTCTCTAAAATTGTCTCCTTTCACATCCTTTCCTGATCTCTAACAATGTTCTGTTGTCTGCTTTCATTTCCACTTTCTGCCCCCACCCCCTCACCTCCTTTGCCCCTCCTCTGGGCTCCTGACTCTTTCTGCAGCCTTTCTACTGCTACTCCTTGGCTCCTCCTAACAGCTGTCTTTCTGCCACACCCCTGATCTTCTGGTAGGAAAGATCTACACCTAGCCTTCTCTGACAAGGGCGAAAAAATATCGGAGGGCCCGTGTGCAAGTTGCGCACGTTAAAGATCCCTTGGTGGTCTAAAATCGATAAGAGTAGGCTTCGGCCGCCACCCGGGCAAAATTATAAATTTCCTACCAACGAAAAAGTATTAGGTGTGTCCCGCGCGCTCATATGACCTATGCAGTTGCGAGTGCCGTAAAACCCTATACTAAACAAACAAACAAAGAGATGATATTGTCCCATGGAAACCTATCCAGGGCTTTAAACATTGGGAAGGAAAGAACAGTATTTTTGTTTGTGCATTTGAATTGATCTCAGTTTTGCTTGTGTGCTGTTTTTGCAATTTAATTTGTGAATATCCAAGAATACGTTTTTATAAGTCACATTTCAGCAAGGATAAAAAAATATGGTCTTTAAAACCTTGTCTGTTGTTCTTTCTGTTTCAGATGGTTTGATCCTGATTGCCTTCATGTTCACCAGCAATCTCTGTCATGTCACTTTGCTTGAGTTTGAGTTCTCTCCAAACTGCAGCACACACTATAACACGTGTGACGTTTGTCTGCATGGAACCTTTGCTAATGAAAGTAAGTAAAAGTTGGACTTTATGTTTCTTAAATACGCTTCCAGTATGATGTTTTGCTTAAATCATTCCAAGCAAACTGAAACATGTATAGTACAGGTTGGATCATTAACAGAAAGATCACATCTCTGCTAATAGGAAAAGGAAGAGGCTATGTAAGTTTGTCGGGTTTTTAAGCTAAAAAGATATGCACACATCTAAAAGCGAAAACAAAAACAAATCTTATTTATACTTGTATATGAACTACTCATTCATTGCTTCTTGAAAGATACCATGCCATGTTATTTATGAACTTTGATCATTAAAAATGGTAACAATTATTATAGGTTGAAAAATTGAATTTTTGTCTCTCACAATTGTACAGGAATATTTTTCTTTCATGGAGTACTAATGTTTACTTGGGTATTTTTTTGTTTTTTGCTTTCTTTATCCAATGATTACTAAAAACAAAAATAATATATGCTTAGTGTATAATGTAAAGAGTTTGCATTTTTTCAGGTACAGAGTCGTGCTTCTGTTGCACGGGAAGTGGGAACCCTCTGGGCATGTGTGTAAACGAGTCGTTTTGTACTCTCTGTCCTGCTGGCCAGTACCAGCCTGGTGAAGGACGTGCCCACTGTGAATTCTGCCCGCAAGGACAGTCCACATCGTAAGTAATAATAATAGATAACATTTGTATAGCTCAATTCCCTGCTCAACAGCAAGCTCTATGCGCCTCACAATCTATACTATTACCCCAGGAGATCCGAGAGCATTCTGGGAAGCATACAGTGCAAGCTGCCATTTATAGGCACTAAAACACTAACATGCTGACAAGTTCTTTCGCTGTCTATGGCCGGGTACCCATTCCCACCTGGGTGAAGTGAGGAAAATTTGTGTAAAGTGCCTTTCCCAAGGACACAACGTCGGACCAGCGGCTCGAACCCCTGAACCCACATTATCATGATTACGAGTCTGGTAGCCTAACCACTAGGCCACCGACGCCACAAGTACATCTCGTGTGTGATTTCCAGTGACTGTGGGCTATTCATGGCTAGGCTCTTTTCCTCGTACTTAAACAGTATGAGTTGAGATCTCTGATGAAGATACTAGTAATTTGTTAATTTTTTTTCTGTTTTTCTGTTTGTGTAGATCCCGGCACAGTCAGAGGAGGCTCTGACAGGAGAGTCAAAGTAGCCTCTTATTTCGTGACTAAATTGTTTCATGGGTTGTTGGTGGGTGCTCTAGCATGGTTTGTTTTTCCTTTTTTCCTATCAAACATCTATCGCCCGTTATATCTCTCTTCTTTCTTGTCTTTGCATGTGACTGTCTTGTGACACCTCTAATCTTTGGCGTTTATATGACCTAACACTAAAATTAAAAGTATTGCTGAACTAAGTTGTGTCAGTGGGGGCACAAAAATATGCACCAATTACTTCTGGTTTGCTACGCTATAACCATTGACTAGACAGTCAGATTTGAGTAGTGCTGGTGCTGTTTACTGCACAGAATAAGACAACTTTTTTGTTTACTTCTTCTTCTTCTTCTACTACTACTTCTTCTTCTTCTTCTACTACTACTTCTTCTTCTTCTTCTTCTTCTTCTTCTTCTTCTTCTTCTCTCCTTCTCCTTCTCCTTCTCCTTCTCCTTCTCCTTCTTACTTCCTGACTCAAATCTCGAAGTTCAAAGAACCACACACACACATACA